AGTGCTCTACTATGAAGAGCCAAGGATAACAGGAATCCAAACAAGAGAAAATAGCAAGTATAAGGAAGGGGTCAAGGCTGCAACAGGAGAAGATGGAATTAAACAGTAGCCTAAGCAACACACTAAATTTGGAGACAGTTAAAAAGGAACTACAAAGGGGGAGTTGAGGAGGAAGAAATAGTAAACAAAAGGTCTTTTGACAATTTATTTTCTAAATGTTTTGCGTATCATTTTTGTCAAATAAATTCCTCCAAATCGTCTCATTTATTTCCTTAAAACAACTGTTCATTTTTCCAATTACACCAAGCAATAATAAATTCAAATCTTCTTTAATTGTCTCAAGTCAATGAAATCTTGATTCAGATTGTCAAATATTTTGCTCATGATACTCAACATTAAAATTGTTTGCAAAATGGAATGCTGTTGCTGTCAGGTGTCATCAACTCATAGCGACCCATGTAACAGAGTAGAAAACCCCCAAGATTTTCTAGGCTGTAATCTCTACTGAGATTACACCTCAACATAAAGAAAATGAAAATCCTCACAAATGGACCAATAAATGGAGAAAAGATTGAAGTTGTCAAGAATTTTGTATTGCTTGGTTCCACAATCAACACCAATGGAAGCAGTGGTCAAAAAATCAGATGATGTATTGCACTGGGCAAATCTGCTGCAAATGATCTCTTTAAAGCACTGAAGAACAAAGACGTCTCCTTGAAGACTAAGGTGCGCCTAACCCACCTTTGTCTCTTACGCATGAGAGCTGGATAATGAATAAGGAAGACCAAAGAAGAGTCGTTGCTTTTGAGTTGTGTTAGCAAAGAATACTGAAAGTACCATGGACTGCCAGAAGAATGAACAAATGTGTCCTGGAAGAAGTGCAGCCAGGATGTTCCTTGGAAGCAAGAATGGCCAGACTTCATCTCACCTACTTTGGTCATGTTGTCAGAAAGGATCATTCCCTAGAGCAGGATATCATACCTGGTAAAGTACAGAGTCATCACAAAAGGGGAAGGCCCTCAATGAGATAGACTGACATAGTGGCTGCCACAATAGGCTCAGGTATAATAAGGATTGTGAGGCTGGTGCAGGACTGGGCAGTGTTTCATTTTATTGTACATAGGGTCACTATGAGTTGGAGCTGACTCGACAGCACCTAGCAACAACAATTTCTACTGAAGGAGATCACCATGGCTTTCCCCACACAGCTGCTGGATGGCTCCTAACCTTCTGATTAGCAGCCAACCACTTAACTGTTTGAAGAATGAAATAGTGTTAAAAAATTATGTGTACATTCAACTTTTTTTTTTAACTACATGAAATTCTTGCTTAAAATATAGTCTAAGCTTCCATCTTGTACTCTTCTGAAAAGCAAAATGTAACAGACAGCACAGTAATACAAATATGCAGTAAATAAATTAGTTAGGAAATTTGGGTCAATAAAAATACCTGCTCTAAAATGAATGACAGTGTTTCAAGAACTAGGTGAAGGTCTTGTTTCTCTAGAGAAAATGCAGCTTGAAGTTTTTCTTCCTCTTCTTCACTGAAACTGCTCTCAGCCTACAACACAAATAGCAATCTTTTAACACATGCTCAGGTATTCAAAATTCAGATACTCAACAAAAGATTCATTTATTCATATTTGGAATGAAAATTTGAAAGAAAAAGTAAACACATGTAGAAAGGAAACTGATGCACTTGTAAATTTCAGTATTTCAAAATCATTGCACAGTTCAGTTTCTAAGATTTGCCAAATAAAATTTATCTTAAATAACAGCATTTGACATTTTATGATTTATAGTAGATAGAAAAATAGTAAACACTATAACAAATGGGCACTTATTAAGAATACTGAAAGGTAAAACTCTACAATGTTAAGTGGTTAACAGTAATTTCTATCTTCACTCATTCAAAACTACTTACTATCTATTATGTGCTACAAAGACAGTTCATATGCTCAGTTGAAAGTCTAATCAGAAAGAGACATAAAAACAAATATTCAAATAATTTCCATTTTGATAAGTTCTGCAAAAGTCAAGGTTGTTATAAGAGCATATATAGGCCAGGAAACAAACATCATTTTTATAGTAACAACATTCCAAAATTCACCTATTATACATATTATATATTTCACACTTATATATATTACATAATGTAGCACATATATATTAGTTTTGTATGTCATATATGAGAGAATATATAACTGTCTATATATAAAAAGATAGCTGAGTATAATAACCTCTATTTAGTCTCCTTTCTTTCATCTCCAGAAGATTTTCTTGATCTAAAGACACTGATTTATCAAGTATGAATAGTGTTTAAATAAAAAAATACTCTATCCACACATACTAAAAACAACTGTCCCTTCTGCTACCTCTCCACAACAGCAAAAAACAGCAGCTTCAGAAACTCCAGGAGTCCCCACCTTGACAGCTCACAATAATGTACAACTGCACAGTCACTCAAGGGAAGCACCATTAAACTCAAAGCTAGCACATTTCTTGTTTGTTTGTTTCTCTTCCCTGTTCTCATTTATTGTATCTACTTCAAAGCTATATATTATGGCAGTATTTTGAAAATGTTAACAGCTGTTACTATTTTAAAGTTGAAAAAAATAAAACCA